ACCATATTCTTTGCGTTAAACTATATTAAACAGATTTCATACTGAGCACTATCAAACCCCTGTAATTTATCAAAATACAACCTTTCTTCTTGGTGCACTGCTGAATTAAAGCAGCATTCAGATTATTTAAGCCTTTGAATGGAGCAAAAACTGGCCTATTGTTTCATACACAGATTAATATACACATTTTATGTGCTGAAGCAGACTAAGTATGAGGTTTTTCAGCTTTAATTATTCATTTTTGCATATTTACACAGAAACCTCTGATGGACAGATGTGGAGGTTTAGAAAATACATTTTTGCTCGAGGAAACATTGGCTGCTGTAAGCTGCACTTTAGTTTCTGGGACATTTTTGTCAGATTTCTGTGCCTTTTTTTTTACATTTCAGTGAAAAACTAGTTAATTAACTTTTTAGCTCCTTAAATTTTGAACCTTTTTTTGTATCTTTTATGAATCAAGTTCCAGAAATAACAAAGTGTTTATTCCTCTACTGCACACTGTTTATTATTATTTAAATAACTTGTAATTTAATATAATCCTTCTTCCAGCTGTTCCTTCTTCAAAGGCATGTCGTAGCACTCCTCCATAATTTTAATATTCTCCAAATCTGAAAAGAAAAAATATTAACGCGTGAGTACCAACTGTAAATGTTATTTAACTTTTACACTTTGACATTTACATAAACCTTTAGAAAAATTATCTCCATAAAAGGATTGCTTACAAACATTGATAATAGGGAACATTCCTAGAAGCAAGTTTATTTTTCGTTTTGTGAATATTTTTAAATAAAATAAAAAGCATCATAGGTAACTTACATGCAGTTTTTATGCAACATATAATACATAAATGGATCACTTCACCGACTTTTAAACTATTTCCCAAACTAGTGGTCTAGTTCCTCTTTGATTTTATCAGATATCTTTGTTGCAGTGATTTAAATAATGTACATTTTTAACACTGCTTACATCAAACAAAATGTTAAACCTTTTAATAAATAATTGCATTGTATTGTACTATTATTATATGCATCTGAGTCATCTAGGTAGATAAATCAAAAAGAAAAAAAAAAAGTAAGTCCTCCGGAAGGGTTCTTCTTTAATGAAAAGTTTCGTCTCTCCTCCCAGAGACTTCTTCAGTCTGAGAGTTTCAGGTTAACTTTTTTCTTTCTGATTGTATTGTCATGTTAAAATCTGCTATAACAATGCAAACGTTGCGTCCAGTGTGAGTAAACAACACGTATTTTCAGTCAGGCAGGGCGGAAGTTAACCGCTTCCTGCCTTCGGTCGGGTCCTGTTGAGCAGCCCGTGCTCGGCTGTGCTGGAGACCCCGCGCTGCCTGCACCTCTAACGTCTCGGGTGAGTTTGTTACAATGTAACAATTTCTCCATTAAACCCAATAACGGTTACAAAGCTGCGATATCTGCTAACTGCGCGGCGCACACGAACCGCACCGGCACCGCAACAGAAGCGCCACGGTGCCGCGCCGCCCCGCAAAACAGGCTCATTTTTCCAACGAAATCCCAAGCATTACCCCCCTCATCCAAGAGTATTCCAACATTAACTCATATTCTCTGCTTGCAATAATCAGCGACAGACCGCCGCGTAGTTGCGTTTACGCCTCTCGACACACCGAACCGCTCCTCTTCGGTCCGGTCCGGGCGCCGCCGTGCGGTATCGGTGTTTAAATTGTGTCACTCTGTGGTTTGTTTTGAATGTCAAAGGCTCCAGCTAGCTGTACGTCTGAATATTGTTGATAGCAGGTTAGCTTGCTAGGCTAACAAAAGTCAACCCAGATGCATCAAAACCACTTAAAATAGCGGCGAAGTTGGGTTTCGAAAACAAACGTTTGACTCTTAAAGTAGTTGCGGTGCTGTCAAACACTACATGCGTGGTTAAATCGGTAAAGTATGCGTGCAAAGCTCGTTAAAAACACCAGTTAGCATGTAGCCGTCCGTTTGCATCGTCTCCATTCATATCCTGCGCACTGTGGGTTTTTACGGCTGCGATACGCCGACCTGCTCCGAGCGGCGGCTGCCTTTCCTTCAAAAAATGTCCCATAATGTGTCTTATTTAATAAAAAACTCGTTTCGGTTTGTTTCATTTGGTTTTGGTTTAATACATGAAAAAAGTCGGCAGCGCTCGAAATGTTCCGAGAGACGAAGCGAAAACCGCGCGTTTTCAGTTTGTTTTCTGTTTTTAGTTGGTGTTTAGTTCATGTTTTTATCTGTCAGGTTTATTATTTAGCTTTGTAAGTAACTAAATGACCTGCTTCAACTCTAAACTGTTTTATTTGTCTTTAGGACCTTTAAAAATACAAATATAATACGAGTACACCTGTTAAACTGTTTTGTTTACATTTCTGCCTCTGCACTTGTGTTTTTACCCAAAAGAATGTTTGACAACAACTAGGTGATGTAATAGTCTTTACCACCATGTTCATTTAGGTATTTTGTACATTTAATACCTGAGCACATAACATTTACATCACTGTGAACCAATTATACTGGTTTTACCATCAGAGTACATGTAAAATACTAGATATTTTAACTGTATTCTACTATTTTGATCAGACTACAAATACTACCATATTTTTAAACCTCAGTACAGAAAAATAATCACTTTCCTAAATGTTATCTTTCTCTAAAAGCAGACCTGTAGAATCCTGTCATTATTATCACTTTATTATTAAAATATAGTTGTAAAAATTAGGTATTATTGCTCATTTTAAACGAGAATTCAACACTATTATTCACAAATCCTGAAGGATCACAATAAACCAGAATTTGTTATATTTAAGCACCATTTGTTCATGTTTTGCTGATAATTATATATTTACTCGATCTGTTGGTTTAGATGACAGAAGCAAAATATATTGAACAGTATTATCGCATGTTTTTCTAATATTTACACCCCTGTTATTACATCTAATATTCTAAGAATCTGCTATATACTTTTTTGACAGCTTTGTAAAAACAAGCAGATTTGTTGTCTTATTAATGATACTGTGCAAAGATTTGCTTGAAAAGAGATGTCCTAAATGTCAATTGTTGAAAAATAATCATGCTAAATTTTAAATGATTATTCTTTTTATGCTGCCCTAATATAGAAATATAAAAGAACAGTGGTGACTGTGGAACAAATCTTGCATAAACTTAAAAATACTTCTCAATTTCAACAGTTGTCATGGATGATGAAGACGGCAGGTGCCTTCTAGATGTGATTTGGTAAGTTTGTTTTGTCAAAATAAAAGACCAGATTTTTTATACCATTTAAAAAAATATATAAAAAAATTATATTATTGTATTTTTAAATCACACTGTTTTCTCCTGCAGCGACCCAGAAGCTCTCAATGACTTTCTTCATGGATCTGAGACCCATGTAAGTACAGGGATGGATAAACAGTGGTTTGTACATTTTAAATAACGGAATATAAGCTTGCATTTGATACGCAGCTTGTTATAAGTTTATATTCGGCGCTAACCCCCCCAGTTCAGAGTTGAGGCACCCTGAATCCTGCATCTCATCGCTGCTCCCGTTAACCTTGTTTCTAGTTTTTTCCTCTGCTCACTGTTTGCTTTTGCTTTCAGTTGGTTTTACATTAAAAAGAGTAAAAACAAACAAACAAACAGAGAAATACTAACGCTTCCTGGTTTCTGAGTTAATCCTATCATTTTGTTCCTCTGTCGCTTTTCTTTTACACTGATGCTTTTTACATTCTGGTTTCTTTGAACTGTGCTCTGCCCTCTCCTTGCCCCTCTCTGTTGTGATGGTGTGTGTTTGTCCCGGTGACTCTTGCCTGCTGGTTTGGTGCCTTTGGTTTCTGTCTGTCTTAACCTTGGTGGGTGTGTCTGTAGTTGGACACTGACGACCTTTTGGATGGTTCGAATGACCCCTCCAGCTCATTCTTCTCTGCCGCTGGGGTGAGTAAAATCCCCCCATGTTCTTCTCGCTGTCGCCTATCCATCTTTGTGGCATGTCTTCTTAAACCCCCCTCCCTCTCCACTAACATATCTACACTTGACGAGCTTTAAATTGCTGCAATTTTACAAGATTTGTTGTTGATTTTTTTGGTGTGTGTTTTTTATGTTCTGTAAAGCAACCCCAATTCTGAAACAATTGGGAAGTTGTTCAAAATGTAAATAAAACAGAAAGCAATAAATCTCATAATCCTGTGTTTTATTCAATAGAAGGTAATAAACACATCAAACATTTCTGCTAAGAAGATTTAAATTTATGGCAGCAAGGCATTTCAAAAGCTTCTGCTTCAAATCCACGGCAAACTCTGCAAACATTCAGGACCTGAGGAGACCAGGTCTAGAGGTTTTGGAGGGAATGTTGTCCCATTCTGGTCTGTTCAACAGTCCTGATCATCTTTGTTAGATTTATTTTTCTGAATATTCTGCATCGACGGTGTTTAAGCTGTCCGTCCCAGAGGCATTAATGCACCTTCATACCATCAGAGAGGCACACTGATGTTGTAAATCTTAATAAAGTCTTCTGAAATTGTTCCACTTTTTTAGATGTAGTCTTTGACTGATGAACTTCTCAAAGATTCAGCATCTCTAAGATGTTTTTATATTTGTGTTGATGAGATTTAACGTTTTGTTTTTATTTACGTTTTACACAAACTCCCAGCTTTTCTAACTGGGGTTGTAGTTTTGAAGTCCTCACATCTCGTCGACGTGATTCCTTTCTCTTCCTCCTCTGCTTGAAGGGACATGTTCCGGAGGTCCAGCCCGTGGCCCAGCTGTCGGCCTGCGAGTCGGCGGGCCTGCCCAGAGTCAGCGTGGACCTGGACTTCCTCGAGGACGACGACATCCTGGGCGGATCCCCGGGCGGAGAAGGCGGCAGCAACGGCATCGGGGCGAACCACGAGACGTGCGACATCCTGCAGCAGAGCTTGGCCGAGGCCAACATCACGGAGCAGAGCTTGCAGGAGGCCGGCGCCGAGCTGGACCTGGACCCCTTCGAATGTCTGGCGCAGGTCCCATCGCTGCCCGACGCCGGCCTCTCCGGAGGCGTAGGGATCGGTGGAGCGGCGGCGGTTTTCCCCGGTGCCGCCCCGAACGCCACGGCGACCCCTCCCAACGCCACGGCTGACATGCTCGGGTCAGTACTGGCCCAGCAGGGCCTTCAGCTCCAGTCCCAGGTCATGAACAAGGCCATTAGTGTCCAGCCATTCATGCAGCCAATGGGTCTGGGGAATGTGACACTTCAGCCCATTTCAAGTCTCCAGGCTCTTTCTAACGGGGGCCAGTCGGGACCTTTGGGTATCGGACAGATTCAGGTTGTGGGCCAGCCTACAGTCATGACGATCAACCAGTCTGGGCAGCCCATCCTGGCTAAGGCCATGGGTGGATACCAGCTACACCAGTCTGGACCCGAAGTATCTGCCGCCGGTGCTCAGGCAGGACTTGGAGCTTCGGGCGGTGGACTTCTAATCCAAGGCAACAAAGCAACTTTGGCGCCTCCGGCTTTAAACGGACCGGCTGTTTGCGTCAGCAGCACGAGCGGCGGCGGCACCGGCACCATAACGGCTCCCGCTGGACTCGTGGGCTTTGGAGGCACCCCTCTGAACACGGGAGTGGCACCCCAGACGCAAACTCCGGGCCAGATCATGCAGAACGTCATCATCCAGCGCACGCCGACACCCATCCAGCCCAAACCGCCCCAGGGGGGAGCCATCCAAACAAAACTCTTCAAACCGCCGCAGCAGCAGCCGCAACAAGCTGCGCCCCAGCCCCTGCAGAACGATGCCCACAAAGCTCTCGGGCTGCAGCAGCTTCCAGTTTCTGCTGCTCAGAATGTAGCTTTCCTGACAGGGAAACCAGGTTCTAACGTAGTCCTGAGTACTCCAGCCACAACGCAGGGCCCCCAGTTCCAACAAACTCTCTTCAAGCAACAAGCAGCACAGCCGTCCGGCAAACCCCTCAGCGTTCATTTATTAAACCAACAGGGCATCGTTATTCCCTCTCAGACTGTCCTCCAAGGCCAGAACCACCAGTTCCTCCTGCCTCAGCTGCAGGCGGGGGGGCAGATCCTGACCCAGCACCCCAGGGGCCACATCATCACCAGTCAGGGTCCCGGCGGGCAGCTCATCGCCAACCAGATTTTAACTTCAAACCAGAACATCAACCTGAGCCAGGTGTTGACCTCGCAGGGCCACGCCGGGGCGGCCCACATCCTCTCCGGACCCATTCAGCTGCAGCCCGGTCAGATGGGCGCGCCGACCCTCTTTCAGATGCCCGTGGCCTCGCTGGCTCAGGGCCAGGGCCAGACGCAGACTCCCACCGTCTCCGGTCACGCCCAGACTGTCATACAGGGCGTGCCGATCCAGAGCTCCCTGGCCATGGTGGGTCAGGTGGAGGGGCTGAGCCCCGCGGTCAGCCTCCAGCCCACCCTGCAGCCCCAGCAGCCGGGCGGAGTCCCCAGCAGCACCGGAGCGGCGACCGTGGCTCAGGGCCAGACCGGCGAGACCGTGGCCGTGCTGGGGAGCTCCGCGGAGCCGAGCGCTCATCCCGCTCCGCAGCTCGTACCGCAGAGCTCCATCCTCGCCATGCAGCCGGCCTCATCCACCGCTTCCACCGTGGCTTCTTCCTCTTCCTCCATGTCTGCCACCACCTCTGCCTCGGTCACAGCTGTGGGGCTGGTCCCCCCGCAGGCTCAGAGCAGCCCGGGGAGGTTACTGTTCACCAACCAGGCGCCGAGCATGATCCTGAGCCAGGAGTCTCTGCAGATGTTCCTGCAGCAGGTCGGTGTTTCCTCTCTTTCTGCACGGTTTTGGCTTTGTTCTTCTGTTTCTGTTAACATTGTCCTCAAATTAAATAACATGCACGGAGTGATGTCTTGGTTTGACATTTTTCTTTATTTTGGTTTACGATTTTACTCCTCATTCTTCCTCCCCCCTCCCTCCCCTCCCTCTCCTCCATGCTGAAATGGTAATTGTACTATCAGGAGCCGCTCCACCAATCAGAGAATGACTCGGCCCCCTCTGTGGGCGTGCCAGCGTCTGTTATCGTCAGCAGCAACAGCATCACCACTGCGGCCCCCGCTGTCCATGACAGCCAATTAGCTGACTCCTGGGTGGGTCAGAACCACAGTCCTTCCCCTGGCCCCTCCCACATGACAGCAGTGGTAAAGGTAGAAATGCCCCTTTATGTTGAGCCCCAGCCACTCGCTGCTGCTGCCGCTGCTGCCACAGCGTTAGGTTTTCTTATCTTTCCCATCGATGCTCTTTAAGGTGGTGTCTCGCTGAGCTGCGACTACCGGAGGCTCGTCTGTGACTCAAAACTGTGGGAAAATCCATATTTTTGTCACCAGCCATTGAGCCACTGTCCTGCAGGTTTTAGACTGAAACTGGTCAGACACTCCTACGTTCATGATTATGTGGCGCCACTTGTAAAATAAAGTATTAAAAATGTCCTCAATACAGTTATATAATTTAGCTCACTTGGAGTGAAATCTTTTCCATTAACATTTTAGTTTCATTTAGCTCACTGTTCTTACATTTTACTAAGTTTTATTAAATGTTATATCTATTTATTAAATCATGAATGTAAATGTAAAAGTTACAGTTTAAATATTGAGGCTAAATATTAAAGTTTACATTCAAGTATTTCAGAATGGAACGCAGCCTTCGCTTTTGGTGCTCAGCTCCAATGAGGTATATTTATTAGAGAGGCTACCCCCGTCATGAGGCTGGGGCCTTAGCAAAGCGCGACGCCATCTTGAAACAGTCTACTTAAAGGGATGGGGCTATTCAAATTATGTAAACAATTCTGAGTACTTACCAGATTAACAGGTTTTTCTTTTTAGAGTAGCCCCAATTTTTATGTACTCTATAACACATTTACACACACAGATAGTTGAAAGAAAAAGTTTATTTTACCATATTATTTTAACTAAAAAAACGTTATTATTTGACGTAGTCAAAACAAGTAAAAGAAAGTATTCTAAAATTACATTGTCAAAGTACAATACAAAAACCAAGGCTTAAAGCATAATTTTGAAAATATTGTTTAGAAGTACACAAGCAAAAAAATAAAATAAAAAACAAAATTGTGTTCAATAATAAGATTGACTTTCATTTGTAAAATAAATGCACGTCCATAGTTATTCTGTACTTTACTGTATTTTTTTGTATTGTTTAATTATTGACCTTTGAAGAGAATGAGCTTAGTTAGTTTCTGACGAACAGACTCTTTTTTTAAGCTGTGAGGTGTGTAATCTGGCAACATGTTTCTGCCTGATGATGTAGTAACTGTTGACCAGGAATTGGATGAGGTCAAAGTAATGGTTGTCCATGCCATTTTGAGACTCCACTATATGTTTTCCAAGGCACACTGGAATAAATTTAGATAGATAAAAATATTACTTTATGTGAAAATAAATATATTTACTGTTACAGAGCTTTAGTAAGCAATCCACAAAGCAAGTGTCAGGGTATTTTTTTCTTTTACTTTTGCTTAATAAATTTAGATAAATAATGTGTCTATTGTGTAAATATTACACACTTACTGTTACAAAACTTTAGTAAGCAATCAGGAGTGCAAATCAACACTTCTGTCTTTGTTTTAATGTCACACCTTGACTCAACAGAAATACAAAAACACACCACAGGAACCATCTAACTTGTTTTCAATGAACATATTTTGAATTTAAATTTTAAATGCCTTTTTTAGCATCATTAGCAACATTGTTTGCTTTTGTCGCAGGATGATGACATCTAACGTTGCTAACGATAGCATTTAAAATCTGAGTTAAAAATGTGGATGGTAACTGTGGTCCGGCAGTTTGAAGTGCAGCTCAGACACCTGCAAATTTGATATCTTGTAGGGAAGCTGTCACTGCCCTATCTGTTCCAAAACATGATCTGTACCGTTTGTTTTTAGCCTGTAGCATTTCGCTAGGCTAATGTTAGAATGGATTTGATTTCTTTCATCACCTGCAATGTTTCATAAAAAAGGCAACGCTTTATTCCTGGAAAAAATAAATAAAACAAAGATGAGATGAATTATAACATGATTGTCTAGGAAATAGGTCAGTTTAGGTCCACAAGTTTAATATAAATAATCATGTAGACATCGTGAATATTTTATTAATCAGAACGTGTAGGACATTAAAACAGTTTTCAGAATATAATTTAGCCCACCTTTATAATTAAGTATGGAAATAATTATTTTTAGTTTTTTTTCTTCCTAAATTGAGCACATTAACTGGTAATCCAGTGACAGAAGCGTTAGCAGTGTTAGCGGTTGCTATTGTCGCAGGATGATGACATCATAAGAGCTAAGCAAAAATGGCAAAGGCTGCATTCCATTCTGCAATTCCATTCAACATTTAGCCACAAGATTTAAAATTTACCTTTTACATTTCGATATGGATTTAATATTTACATTGAACACTTTGTAAAAATTAACAAAATGTAAGATCAAAATGTTAGCTAAATAATAAAATGTTGGCGGAACATTGTTTCACTAGGATTTTACACTCAAAGTGAGCCAAGCGATGAACATCTGTGACTATTTTAAAGATAAAATTTAAACCTGCAAACATTTTGAAATATTTTGGGGATTTTCTCATGATGTCTGTTCGCCAATGAGTCTCCAGCAGTCGCAGCCCTGTGAGATTTTATCCCGCGTAAGTCACCGCTTCCACGACTCTTCACTTCCTGCAACAATGATTCCGTTTCTTGCTGCATCTCTGCTTTTTATTTCTCACTTTGCTTCACATTGTAAAGCCAAGATCATCCGAACTGTTCATCCTGTAATCCTAACATTATGAATTTATGTAAAAATGAAGGGTTTTCTCATTTCTTCATTGTTTGTTTGCTCACTGCTGCATCAAATCCAGTCTGCTCGGCTCATTGTCTCCTGTTTTATTACTAACCAGTAACTGATTAATCCAGTCTTCGTTCTCTTCCTCTGTCAATAATCCTTTTGTTTTGCCCAGTTTAAACAACAAAATGTTCCCCAAACCAAAATGACCGCCCCCACTCCCCGAACCTTGTCCTCCAGATCTTCAGATTATCTTTTAATTCACCGTCACAGTCCCACAAATTCTGCTTTTGTCAACGAGTGATCAGTACTTCTTTTTATGTTATCACCCTTCAGCGCTGGAAATAATGTGCTTCTTTTTTATTTTATTTACTTCAGCATCTTGTAGATTTTGTTGTCTAACTCTCTGCTTTTGTGTTTGTTGTTTTTTTGTGTTGTGTGTGTAGCCTGGGGCTGGGCGATGAACTTTGAACTGCGGTTTTATCAAAACGTTTTGATTAATTAAGGACTGTTTTTGTCCCGTTGTTGCACTTTAGAGCAGATTTTACTCTTAAAAACTTACTTGTGTCGCCCAGCCTTTTCTACAACCCCAGTTACAAAAACTTGTGTTATTGTGTAAAATGTAAAAAGAAACAGCAGTAAACTAATCCAATATTTACAAAAATAAATGTTATTTTATTTTATGGCAGCAACATGTTTCGAAAAGTTGTTTTGGGTCTTAAATTATTATTATTTTTCTAAATCTTTTTTATTATATCCAGATGCTCATGAAACGGAACAGAGGGACAATCCAGCCCAGGTGTGTCAAGTCCTGGTCCTCTGGTCTTTTTTTAACACAAGCACAACTAATTAACAACAAGCTAACATTAGCTACCGTTAGCTTACTGTCTTCTGTCTTCTCGTCTTCGGCATCAAATAAGACAAAATAACATTTGCGCGTTTTTAGTATTATGATCCCGCCCACATCGAGGCAGCATTCAAAGCAACCAGTGCAGTTCCCCCCAGGGCCCAAACATCAGGACCATCTTGACTTTCAGCTTCGTCCTTTCAGTTCAGAGATTTCTACTGATTATTTAAATCTTTCGATGGTCTTATTAACTGTATTATTTATTTTTTATTTTACCGTTACTTTACCAGGAAAGTCCTGTTGAGATCTCACATCTCTTTTTCAAGGGCGGCCTGGGCCTGAAGGCAACCATGGTGTAGTGTCAGAACGGTCGGTGTAGCTACGGGTCGGACCAGTTGGTTTTCCACTGATGTTCCAGTCCGGTTCCAATGGGTGTGTTTTGGGCGGTTGGTGGAGGTGGTAAATTTGCTAAATTTGCAAAAAAATTTGCAAAAATTTAGCCAATCAGTGACGAACAGTGTTCTGACATCGCATTTTGGTGTGAGATGGGGTCGGTTGGAACCACAATGAAGTAGGTACTAAAAAAAGGGCCGGTTCCACGGACTGGCCTAATGGAAATGGCTTGGAACCGTACCGAACCGTACAGACACTACACTAAGTGGCACTAGTGGAAAAGGGGCGCCATTGTACATGTTTTTGGGGGTGGGGGGACACCAGAGTACCCGGAGAAAACCCACACAAGCACGAGGAGAAAATGTAAAGTCCACACAGAAAGACCCCAGGTCCAAACCAGGGATCAAACCCAGGACCTTCTTGCTGTGAGGCGTCGGTGCTAACCACTGAGCCGTTATATTTGATGAGAGATTTTTTTTTTCATTGAAGAACTTTATTTTGAAACTTTTCCTCTAGTTTTAGAAGCTGGTTTACATCTGCCCATTTGATTCAGTCTCTTAGTGCTTAAATTCTCATTTTATATTTAGCCTAATTACTGTTTTTTTATGTTTATTGTTGACTTTTTTATGTGTTGCTGCTATAAAAAAAATTTCAAGCACCATTCCTGTTTACTCTCTTTCTTTGTAAGCATTCTGTTTCTGTTTACATTTTACGTCCTATTTTGGAATTGTGGTTGTATTTCAAATGATAGATTTATAAAATGTATTTTTGAAAGAAAGTGATTTTTTTTTAATATAATGGAATCAAGCTGACGTTTGCATTTAAATTCCTCAGGTGCCCTCAGCTGGACCTCAGCAGCCTCTGAAGATTCAGGGCCTGTCCTCCTCACCGGCCTTAACCACTCACACCACAACACCTCCAGTGGTAGAGAGTCCCCAGCCTTCCCAGTCTCCCCTGACTCTGAGCCAGCAGATCCAGTCTCCGCTCCATCAGCAGCAGTCGCGTCCCTCCTCTCAGCCTCAGCCTCAGACTCAGACTCCCTCGCGCTCCTGCACGCCGTCATCCCACCCCTCGCTTTTCATCATCCAGAACCAAATCACAGAGTCCCCCAAACCCGCCGCGCAGGGCCAGGTCCAGCAAACGCCGCCTCAGCAAGCCAACATTCAGGTCCAGCTCCAGCCTCTGCCCCGGCCCGCCTCGCAGCCCGCTTCCTACCAGCAAGAAATGCCTCCGGTGGCGCAGTCGCCCAAACCTTTGCCCGCAGCTCCGCCGCAGCACCAGTTCGCCACGCCTGCCGGCAGCGCCGCCGTGGTGAAGACGCAGGTTCCCCTCCAGGGCCTGACGGCAGGGCAACAGCACCACCTGCAGATGGTCGGAACACAAATCCAGACTCAGACCCTGCCTCAGCAGAAACACCTGCTGGAGAAGCTGCACCAGGTACCAGTCCAGATCCAGAAAAGAGCCGAACAAAACTTTATTTTTACATTATTTTTATTGAATTTTCATAGGAGCATTCATACATTTGTTATCATCTTAATAATGTTAAAGATATAATTCACACATATACAGTCCAAGTTTGCATGGGTTTCAATGACTCACACATGAATAAACATATGATTTAAACATTTAGGTCAGGAAAGATATACCTTAAAAATATAACCTTAAAAAGAAACAAAAACACACATAAAGTCCCTCATTCATAAACACCAACAATTTTCTTTAATCTTATTTACAGGGTCATACATAACTTATATTCTTTTTTTTTCATCTACAAGTTTTGCATCTTTACAAAATGAATCAAATGAGGACCAAACCTCAAACTTTTCTTGCTTCCCTTTTTTTTATGTATGTTCTTTCCAAGGGAAAAGTTGCTAACATTTGTCGAATCCAAAATGTGACACTCAGACTATCTGTTCTTTTCCAGAAGAAGAGTAGATTTTTTGGCATGCAAGAGACACATATCTATCAAAATACGCTCGTTCTGGTTACATCTATGACCATTATAGTCCCAAGATAAATAAAGCAGGATCCATCAAAACATCTTTTGAAATAATTTTTGCTGTTATTTTCCTAATCTCTTCCCAAAAAGCCCTAATTTTGTTGCATTGCCATAAGCACTATAGCAGTGTCCCTTTCTCCTCCGTGCATTTTTGTACAAAAATCTGAAATATTAGTGTTAAATTTATTCAGTTTTACAGGTGGGATATACTGTATATTCTCATAGTCCATTTATAATGTAATAATCTAAATTTTGTACTAATGGGTTGAGTTTGAGCTTTAGTGCAAGTAAAATTTCAATTCTCGGGTAATTTCCACTCCTAAATCCTCACTCCATGTTGTCCGAATTATATCACAATTTTCTAATGAAGTTGACATTAATAGATTGTAAAGTTCTAATAGTACTCCTTTACTTAAGTTATTTTTAACCATAAGTTTTTCCAATTGTGATTTTGGGGGTTTGGTCGAATAAAACTTTTTAAAGATTATTTTTATCACTCGTCGCCATGACAGGAGGGTAAACTTGTAATCAACTGCATTTGTTTAGATGTGTGTGGGCCTGTTAGCAAAATATCTCATAAATCGCCTCACGGATTGTAATGAAACTCTCACAAATCACTGGATTAACTTTTAAAGTCGATACTGTTTCAACATTAACCAGCACAAAAAAACTGGCTGCAACTCTGTCGTTTTTTTATCAATATTCTGGTAAAACTGAGTGGTAGTTGCTGAAAATTATCCCCATTGAAAAAAACCTGCCAAAAAGTTGATTTTTTTTAAAAAATTTAATAAATTGCCGAAGAATGAAGCCTGTTTTTTGTTGAACGTTTTCCCAACTTTTTACTGTTCATCTGCTTTAGATAAAAAAATTTGTTTGCCAATGATTTTTTTTTATCTCCAACTTTTTCAAATGTTTCAGATTTTTGCAGACTTTGATGCGCCAAAGTTTCAGCAAACAGCTGAAAATAAAGTTTAAAATAAGCTTAGAAAATATCTTTTAAAAAACTTGTATTATTAAGGCAACTTTAAAAGAATAAATAAAAGCATACTGCCCGCCGCCATTCACGTCAAAGTTCAGACACACCTAGTGTGATCAGAGTACGTGTTAGGGATGACTCTCAGCTACTACCACTCCTAATTTCAGCTCAAAGTCTGTACAAATAAGAGAGTTGTTTAGTTTTTTGTGTTTGCTAAAGGCTGATTAGCCGTGGCAGCCATCTTGAATTGGTTTGATCCAGCTTCTTTGAAATCCATGAGATATTTTGCTAACACAAAACAAAACGCTGAACTGTAACTCGGCACCGTCGCTCTTTCCAGGTCCAGCAGAACATCCTGCTCCAGGCAAAACCTCAACCTCAAGCCACGAGTCAGTTCAGTTCCCAGCAAGATGTGCCTGTTGATAAAGCGGTGATTGCGTCATCGTCGTCATCCTCAGCGGCGAGCGTTGAAGCACCTGCTCAGATTCCCACAATGCTGCAGCCGACCTCGGTGCTCATTAAAACTCCCGCCACAGGTAGGATCCCTCTGAGCAACAATGAAATTGTAAATATTTACGTTTTGTATAATTTTCCTTCCCTTCTGTCGCAGCTTCAAGTGACTTACAGGTATTCTCAGGAGTCCAGGGACCAGCCGGAGCAGCGGTGAATCAGACTGTCCCTCCTGTCAGCCTTACTCAGCCTACACAGGTTGGTTCTGTCGCAGTGCACACCTCGTCCCGTTCAGCGTTTTTATTACTATTATTTCTAAAAGTGGGATTCTTTGTTCTCTTCAGGTTCAGCCAAATCCAGGAGTGATCAGCTCAGTGGGAGGGGTGACTCTGGGGAAAGGTGGGATGAAGATTCAGGTGTTGGGACCCGCCTTGTCTCAGATGCCCGCTCCACAGGCCCTGGCTCCAGGACAAATTCAGGTGAAGGAGACATATTTTAAAATGTCTTACATGTTTGTGCATCAAACAGATGTTAACAGCTGCTTTTTATCACGTCAGCTCGCGTCGCAGACAACAACAGTGAAAATGCCTTTAAGTGCGGAGCCCAGCAGAGAAGCCAGGTGTGTGCCTCAGGTGTTTCTTTTAACTGTCAGGCTTTTATTATGGAGCAGAGATGAAGCCATGAATTTTATTCAAACAATTTTTATTGAAACAGAAAATGTATATGTTATATTATATGATGCAATTGCCTGCCATACAAGTTTAATTATATGATACAATGGCCTGCCATACTCGGTTAATTTTGATACAACGGACTGCCATACTTATTAAATTATGTGACACAATGGTCTGCCATACATATTAAATTATGTGATACAACGGTCTGCCATATATAGTAAATTATGTGATACAACGGTCTGCCATATTTAATAAATTATGTGATACAACGGCCTGCCATATATATTAAATAATGTAATGCATGTAATAATAATGTAATGTATTAAATTATGTGATGCAATAGCCTGCCATACTCAGTTTATTTTGATACAATTTGTTTTAATAATTAATCATAATTAAGTACATTAATTATTACAACAGCATGTCAGATTTTTAGTTATATGGTATTGTTGTCTGCCATACTTATTTAATTACGATACAACCTGCCATATTTTTCAATCATATGACACAACGGCCTGCCACTCCTTGTTAGTTATATGATTCAACAGCATGCCATATTTATTAAATTATATATGGTATGCCATACACATATAATTATATGATACAACTGCATGCCATATTTTTAATTATATGACACAAAAACCTGTCAGACCATGTTAATTATATGATACAACACATACCATACAAATTTAATTACAAGTAGTTTAGAACTTTTTTAAAATCAGTTTTAAATCTTTTTTTTTTTTTCAGTTTCAGGAAAAAACTACGTTGAACAAATTTTACGGCCCCATTTTATCCACATTTTATCTCCTGCCTATGTGCGTGTTTATATTTTTGATGGTGGGTGATGCTGATTTATTTTATTTGTGTGTGTGTGTGTGTGTGTGTGTGTGTGTGTGTGTGTGTGTGTGTGTGTGTGTGTGTGTGTGTGTGTGT